GGGTTTGGCTGAAAGACACTGAACGAACAAACATGCAGGGTGTGGAGAGAAAGTCTGCCCTTGACTCTAAGTGCTGTGTAGCTCCCATAGGAAGGTGCCCCGGCCAGCCTGTGTGAGGGCTGGGCTAGGGCAGCATCCTTCCCAAAGAGATGGGTCATTGATATCACCCCCCCCCCCCCGACTCACACATCCTGAGCCCTTCCAACAGTCTTTTTCCTCGTCACTCTCTGGGGCTGGCACTGTTGGCACCGCAGCCACAGGGAGGCTCAGTCCCCTCCCCAAGGCCAGGGTGTAGCCTACTGGTGGTACAGCCAGGAGTCCACCGCCGGACTCCAGAGCCACCACTTTGATAAACATAGTTTGCAAGACAGAAGAAAGGAATGTGTGTCCAAAGCAGAAAGGCGTGGCTGATGGCCTGAGACTGATCTTTGACACATCAAGATCTTGACAGTAAGCTGCCCCCAAACCTACAGGATTCCTTCTGCTCTCCTGAGGAACTTCTCAGTGCTCATCAAAGCTCCCTGGGAAATGAGGCCTTAGGCCAGGTGCAGGGCTTTGGCGGCAAGCCACTGTGATGGTTTTTACTCGAGACCTTCAGTTCAGCAAAAAACACAGGCCAGGCTACCTTGAGCTTCAGCTTGTTTTCTCATCAAGGGTGTGGATGAGGTGGGTGTGGCCAGGGGCATCACCACGGCTCCTGTTCCGCACACACAGCATCACATTTTGCAACGTCTGAAGCTGATGCCCATGAGATGCTGGTAAACACTGCTTGCCACACCTTGGCTCACATCTGCAATGTCATACATTACAGTCTCTTTTTAAAATGACTTTATGTATATGGGTGTTTTGCCTGTGGATATGTACACATACACGTATATGTACCATGTACTTGCTGGTGCCCTCCAGAGGCTGGAGTTAGAGAAGGTTGTGAGCAGCCATGTCGGTGCTAGGCATCAAGCCTGGGTCCTCTGGAAGAGTACCCAGTGTTCTTAACCTTTACAGGATCCCTTCTCCTCTCTCATATACCCCATAGTCTTACACAAAATTCCCTGAACTTACAGAAACATGATGACTTAATGTATGGAAAACAATAACTTTCATTATTTCCTTCCACCGTTGTTCAGCAAAGAGAGCTCAGATTGGTTTGTCTTTGGATAGGACTGTGTTAGAACTGCGTAATTTTAACTGTTGTTTGGGTTACTGACTTGAGTTCATTAAATACATTTTGGCCTTGGATTCAGACAGAATTTCCAGCAATTTCCAAAATAGCCGGCCCTAAACAGACTCCTGCCCATTCTGTGCTACCCAGCTATGCAAAGTGGAATTCTCAGCACTGACGTTTATCAAATCAAAATATTGATCAACTGAACAGTGCTGACGATGTGCCACATCCTGCAGTATTGAGGATTTAGCCCAGGTTTACTTGTCTGTGCAAAAATAAACACTTTCATTTTGTTGGTACGTAAATCTACTTTTGTCTTTAATAAATGGTAAGATGATATGTATCCCACAGAATTGTTTGAAAATAAATCTCTTTATGATTATCAGTACACATTTGATTTATATACCTATTTAATGGAACTATACACCTGGGGTTACCTAACATTTTCTAGGGTAAGAAAGAGTAGTAAATATAATGGAAAAATTAAAAATGCTGCAGGATCCCCAGTGGCGACAGGCAGCAGGCCATGTGGTGGCAGGCAGTGGGCAGGGGGTCCCGAGAGCAGCCAGTCTCAGGCAGGGACAGCTGCAGGTCCCCGAGCAGTGGCTGGTCCAGGGTAGGGTAGCAGGCAAGAGACAGAGACATGGATAGGCACACCATGCAGGGTGAGGTTGGATATTTATTCAGTGGGTTATGGAGGGGGAAGGGAGAAGGGGAAGAGCAGAGAGAGAGAGAGAGAGAGAGAGAGAGAGAGAGAGAGAGAGAGAGAGAGGAGGCAGAAGCTGCCTCTTTGAGAGGGAGACGGAAAAGAGAAGAACTCAGGCAGGAAGCTGAAGATCAGCCTGTCTCTGCTGGGGATCCTGCAGCATTTTTAATTTTTACATTACAGTAAGCAAAGTTTTAAAAGTCCTCCCGGGGGCTGGAAAGCTGGCTCGGCATTGGGAGCACAGAGAACTGGCTTGGCATTAGAAGCATGTGCAGAGGACTGGAGTTCAGTTCCCAGCACCCAGGTCTGACTGAAACTGCCTGTAATTCCAGCTCCAGGAGATCTGATATTGGCGCCCTCTTCTGGTCTCCTTGCACAACCTGCACTCATGTGAGAACATGTACACGTACACACACACACACACAGAGTTTTTTAAAGATCTCGGTGGAGTAAGTTGCACACCACCTTTGTCCCAGGTTCTCCAGGTGGCCAGTGACTGTCACCTTTGGCTGCATGCCCTCCCTGCTAATATGAGAGTATAGACCTGGCACCCTACAGAGAGGAGCCCAGAGTTGGGACTCTGCAGGCATGGGAGGCTGCTGAGTGGCAGGCTCTGAATGAGAACCAGGGCAGTCTTCTAAGTCCTTGCCGGGATTCCGTCCCAATCCAAATCAAAATGCATTTAATGATTTTTTAATGAACTCAAGTCAGTAACTCAAACAGCAATATTTAAAACCAAGCACTCCTCTGCACAGTCCATGGTGCCTCCAGCTGTATTTTCTTTGCCCAAACTGGCGAGTGCTCCTGCTGAACAGACAGCACCGAGGAACATCCAGCTGAGGGCCCAGAGCCTTGGCCTTTTTCTGCTTGTTTTTTTCATCAGTTTCACCTTTGCCTTCTAGCGAGTTGTCCAAGGTCACACCGAGCCAAACAGTGCAGCCAGAAATAAAATTCAGATCAGCTGGCTCCCAAATTGGTACCTGATCTAACTGGAGGCAGCAGGTTTGCCGCAGATTCTCTGAGAGTTTTAATCAAGTGTAGCTTATAAAGCCTGCTGCTTCCCTGGTATTTAGGAGACAATGCAGCGTAATAAGACCCACAGGAAAAGGTATTTTTAAAAAGGGATGGAAAAATACAAGGCGAGCCATCTGGATTTCTAATTAACACAGCAAAGCGAGCTGAATTCAATTCTGGACTGGGACTCTGTTAAGCTACATCACAGCGGAGTCAGCATCCGCCAAGGAAGAAGCAAGCAGCCTGCTGTCTGATGGCTTGGTAGAGGGCACAGCAAAGCTAGGAAGCTGCAGGAAATACCGATGTCTTTGGCATAAAACCCATGTTCTGCTCTCATGAGAAGCCCCTTGGAAATGAGCAAGACCAATGCTAAATTCCAACTTACAGGGCTGCACAGCAAGTTAACTGGAAGCCAAGTCCCTGTAGCCTGCAGCACTGAAGAGCTGGGAGCCAGGCAATTAAAGAGGAGAAAAAGGACAGGAAACTTAAATTGACACAGGCAGAACCTGCTGTCTGGTGTTGGGAACCCCAGAGGCACTACCAAAGCACATGCTGACCTCCAGGTTTCCTCAGCATCACAAGTACCTGTTACACACGGCATCATGATTCTTCTCACCTCCCCTCCTACCCTAAACTTCCCCAGCTGAGGAGCTTCCTTCCCCAGGCCAGCTACTCATTCTCCCTGTAGCCTGCTGTTCCCGCTCTGCTCCCTTGTCTGCCCTCACTGTCTTCACCTCTCCCTCCCCTTCAGTCCCCTCTCTGTCGCTGCTCTGCTCCTGCCTCTCCTATGGCCAGGTCCAGTCTGCTGGCCAAGTACAGTCCACTATTTCTCTGCTCTGGACCCTTCCAGATGTCTCTGGCTGTTCTCTCTCTCAGATCTACAATAAAAACCTTCCCCTTAACCATACCATGGAGCAGCCACATCAGTTTACAGGACCAGCAAATCCCAGGGATGCTGTCTCCACTTCCTCGGCACTGGGATGCAGGCAAGTGCACCATGCCTGGCTTTTCACTCGGGTTCTAGAAGTCTGGACTCAGGTCTCCCTGCGTGAATGACAAGTGCATTCCCAATTGATTCATCTCACCAGGTCCCCAAAAGACTTTTTAAACATTTGTTTTTATTGTTATAGTAGGTGTGTGTGCACGAGTGTGCCTGTATATGTGTGTGGGGGTGTGAACACAAAAGTAAAGATGCCCGTGGATTCCAGAGGCACTGGACTGCTCTGGAGCTGGAGTTACGATGGCTGTGAGCAGCCATGCAGGTGCCATGAACCAAACTCAGATCCTCTAGAAGAGCAGTAGGCACTCTTAACCACTGAGACATCTCTCCAGGCTCCCAAAAGCTTTTTTTTAGTATAAATAAAAAGCGGCTGGGCATGGTGGCAGATCCTGTAATCTGATGACTGTGAGTTAGCTAACTCGCCTGGGCTGTGTACAAAGTTTGAGGCCACATGGACTACGTAGTAAGACATTATCTCAAAATTAATAATGAAATAAAGATGACTAAACAAGATCCCCTTCTGTCAAGGAGGGAAGGAAATTGGGGAAGCACACGCCACAGGGACAGTGGATGATCAGTTCTCAGGTGACTCTTAGATGACCTTCCAAACATTCAAAGAAACTCAACAGCCTAGCTGAGCCAGGAAAAGGCCACATGAAGATGGCTTGCCTTCTGCCAACCAAAGGTCAACTGAACTGCTCTCGACCAGCTGCATTTAGACAGGAAGAGACACAGTTGTAGGCGGGGTCCATCCTGCTGCCCTTTGTTTGTTAGCAAGGCACCATAGACAGTTGGGTGCGCTACTGAGTGGCAGTACCTGGCACACCCCCATAACTTACCCTCTGGGTCTGTACCCTTAAGGGAAGGGCGATGCGGTGACCAGGCCTTGATCTGTTCATAATTCCTAATGGGCCAGAGGACGTGACTTCATCCTCAGGTTATTTCATCAGCCATTGTTCAAAACAACCTAAATTAAGACCAAGAGGTATCCCTTGACAGGGTCCATGGCAGATACAAGCAGCAAAATCCAAGAGAGTCTAAGAAGTTTGAGAGGAAAATCCCAGTCAGATCTGAGACCCAGGAATCAGAAATACACATAGCACACACAAGAAGCCAAGTCCAGATACAGAAAACTTTAATCAACAATTGTGGAAACAATACACTCAAGACATTAAATATAGGAATTCTCCATTGTCACTGCCACCACCACCAGTCTAGAAATAAAATGATCCACTAATCTCAATGTTCCTGGTGGGAAATAAAAGATTTAGGAAAATGTTTTCCATAAACACAATTCTTTTTACCCCAAGTCTAGACTCCACACAGGGAAAAGACAAGTTTGCACTCAATGTGATTTATTCAGCCACCGCTGTAACACAGCTCATCTCTATGTAATAGCTTCCCTTACTCTCCCCTCCCACTGGACTCAATGAGCAGAGGAAACAATGCTCTACTATACATTTATCAGACAAAACAAGTTAAAGTTTAACATGAGTGAATTCTATGTTATTATATTTAAAACATGTATCAAAATCACATCTTTCCTGTAAAAGGGGCTGGCAGTCCAGCAGCAATGCAGGGCTGCCTGATGGCCGCCCTGGGACGTGCCCTGCCTTCCTCATGCAAACCAACGAAGGAGACCGATTGTACAGACTGCCTGCTTTCTCAGTCACCTTGACACGGATACACAAGTCTAAAAGGAAACAACCCCAACTACAACAGTCATTCAAGTATTGAGAGAAGTGTGCATGGACAATGGGGGAGATGCCTAGAAAGAAGAGGGGCTCCAATACTTCGCATGAACTTAGCTAGCAGAGACTGTTGGATCCTGAATGCCGAATGCCTCTAGCAATGGTTCTGGTGAGAATGTAGGTAGTCTAGCCAATTCGCCTCCAGGTACTGCTGCAGTGACCACTGATGGCTTTAAAATGTGTCCTTTCTGTCCTTTCTTAAACCAATAATGGACCTACACATTGGAGCCAGGAAGTCATTACTGCCAGAGAGCTCCCAAAGGATTGTGCACACAGCTTCCCGTGTGCTGTTTATGTATCCACTGTGCTGTTACACATATTCAGGGCTATAAGGAAAATCTGGCGATATACCAAGCTGAAAGAATCACCATCCCCAATCATATTCTACACATGTATTCATTCTTTCAAGGTGCTTCCCAATTCAAATGGTAGAAGAGAACAATACCGGCATGGGCTCTAGATGCTAAATTGTGCTCACGTTCTCTCAGCCAAAGCTGGGTGAGACAACAGAGGCAAAGCGCAGTGTTGAGAGTTAGGAAAAGGTTCTGGTGAACGGCTTGGGGAGTGATCATCCCCATGAGGAACCGTGGGAAAAGCAATGGAAGACGATCAGACAGGCAGCTCCTTGTCTAATACTTAAACACCGAGACAGCACCACGCCTGGGTGTTGTCTTACCTCTGCTAGAACACCGACGAGCAAGAAGCTGGTGCTGTCCACTTCATCTTCAAGACAGCAAAGCAGGTAAGCGGAGAGGCACACAAAGCCATGAGCACAACCCTAAGTTGGACGGCTGCTCAGGCGTTGGAAACTGTCAGTCACTACTCTAAAGAGACCAGACTTCTTCCCAGCATCCCATACTCTCCACAATCATTCAAAACAGAGATACCCAACTACTAAGACATGTGGATTTTAGGGATCACCATGGAACAGCTATAGGTGTGTGTGTTGGGGGAGGGGCAGCATGGACAGACACAGATAAAGTCTCTTAGGAATGATCACTGCAGGGCCTGGAAAACAAGAAGATAAACATTTTGGGGGCTGAACTGTGAGCTGGTGACCAGGGCAGCCGCGGTCAGCTCACCTGTGGGAGGTAGGTGAGAATGGTGGGAACCGCAGCCCTCGGTCTTGGTCTCTCTTCTGCTAGCTTGGCTGCCAGCATGGCAGGCAATGTCTCTGTTTCCTTCTTCTTGGAGCGCCAGGGGCTGCTTCAGGGTTTTAAATGCCTCCCCCCCCCTTCAGAAGACCAACAAAGGGACATGCTCATTGACAGACAATAATGTCAAAACCCAAGGGCCAGTTCTCCAAATGGGGAGCACAAACTATAATCATCCGACCTGATCACAAACATGTGAACTTTAAAGACCGCCTGGCTTCGGTAATGAGACTCAACCCATTTGGTTTTAAGTGGCATCTCTCATTGCTGTATGTTAAAATGGCAACAGTACTGGTCTTAACAAAACTGTAACTGACAGAAGCACAACAACACATAACCAACCTGACAGCTGGTACTTCTTTACATATGCAGCCGCATCTTTCACGCATCAGTTTCAGAAGTATCCAATATTTATATTTAGCGGCTAGAAGACAGGGGGCCAAATCCGCCTGCAATGAGAGAGCAAAGCTTTGACCAGAGCCTGGAAAGCGGGGTCACCTGGAAAGCGGGGTCAGTGAAAGTCTATCAAGTACTCGGGGTAGATCTGGTTGGCATCAAACACCACAAAGATCTTTGGGTTCCAGGTGTCATCCACACAGCTGTCATACAGATTCACGTAGCTCCCATCTTTGGAAGGAGGTCGCATGTATTTGGAGTCTCCGTTTATGTAATCCCCAATTAGTACTCGAGCAAGGAACATGGATTTATAGGCTCTGAACAGATGTCGCTGCTGCACGCTGACCCCGTGAATCTGGAACGTGTTACCATGCTTGATGTCATCTTTGCAGAAGCGACTGGAGTACGCGGCATCTCTAGCAAAATAGGTTCCTGCAACGGAAAGGGCCGAAGTCACTCGGGAGAAAAGACGAAATGCGGGGACAACATTCTGACTGACAGGAGAACAGACACGAATCATATCACAGGGACAGATGTGGGACCTCCTCCTCCGCACACAATTCCCACGCTCACCACATGAGGCCACTATGGGTATACCAGGCCTTACTAGTGCCCTCCTGTGCCTTGGATAAACTAAGTGCCACACTTGTGTTTCCAAGAGAGTTTGTAAGGAAATCCAATAAACAAAATACAAAACCATCCCATGGTGAGAAGTGCGGCAGGTCTGGATTTCACCGGAGGTCGTCTTCCCAGCTGTACCCTTCCTTAGCCTGTGCCCTGTACACCTCACCCAGCATCCAGCCAAAGTCTGCTCTGCCTGAGGAGCTCACACCCAAGAAGCCGTGGCTATGACATGGGGGCAACCCAGAAGGAACTCTAGAAGCGGGAATGAAATTCTGAGACTGTACAAAGCTGTGCCTTGGCTCTTCAGTCTCCCTGGGCCTGAGTGTCACAGGCTTAGTCTTCCAGGAGCTTGGTGCTAAGGAGAGGTGTGGGACTTAGAGGTGAGACGCCTTAGAGGAAATTAGGAACCGCAGGCCTTCCTCATACTTTTCATGGTCTAGCTGCCAGAGTTCACTTTATACGACATGCTCTGCCATGATGGTCAGACTCAAAGTAGTTCCGCAGTGCCAATGTAGCGTAGGTGGAAACGTCTGAAGTTGTGAATCTGAGTGAATCCTTCCTCTTCTGAAGCTGTCTCGGGGTTTTGCTATATAGAAAGAGGAAACTAGCGAGCACATTGTTCCTGCCTGAGCATTCCAGAACACTGCCAGTTGTTGTCGTGAATACTCAATAAGACAGCCAACTCTCTGGAAATGATTGACACAATCAATCAAGTACCTACTTCTAAGAAATTGGGACATAAATAGCAAAGTCGCATAACCACCCAATATTGATAGAACTGGTGTAGACTTTTCTGAGCTCTCACAGCTGAAGTGAGCAGCTTTTACGGTAATTATCCTTAAACTAATTCACTGCTTCAAAATTAGCTCCTCCTAATCCTAAATGGGAGTCAGCTCTCTTGCCGGAAGTGAGGCACAAAGGATGGACCATGAGAACAAACACTTGTCCCTTGCCCTCCTCGGCTCTCTCCCTATCCGCTTGAGGCATGCCACAGAGAACCAGGACATGTACAACAATAGAAATAAGGTGGAGTTTTGCACACTTTCCCCCTTCAGTGCATGCTGATATTCTTACCTATCATTTTCTAAAGCAAAACAACCAAACACCAGCCACTAGTAAGTATAATGGAGTGTAATAACATGTTTCTATCACTCTGTGCGTTTGCTATGGAGCAGTTCCCTGTGTGTAATTAACATGTTTCTATCACTCTGTGCTTTTGCTATGGAGCAGTTCCCTGTATATAATTAACATGTTTCTATTGCTCTGTGCTTTCGCTATAGAGCAGTTCCCTGTGAAGGCTCATCCATGGGAAGGGCTGACTCGGACACCACAGATACTGCAGGGCTTCTCTAATATAGAGCATCCTATCAGGATGATGGGAACGCAGGGATCTGCTGAATACGGCAGATGTGCAAGTCTCGCTTCCACCCTGTCTAAAGCCGATAGTCTGGTAATTTTTAGTTTCATCATGCCCAACTCTGAATCAGAAAGCAACCAATCTTCCCTAAAGAGTGGGCATGCTCTCCTGTGACTGAAGCTGGACCTGAGATTCGGATGTTACCTTTTCCAAAGACAGCACCGTGTACACCATTGATTCTCCAGTCAAAGTTGTGAATGCAAATCGCTTCCACAAACTCACTGCTGGTGCCGTGGAACAGCATTTGCTCATTGATCTGGGGGACTCCTCTCTTCTTCTTGAGCTGAGCCTTCTTCCTAAAATCACAAAACATCCGGATACAAAAACACAGAAAAATACACTACTGAGTGCTATTTATTAATTTAAAAGGTTAAAGGGCAAAGTTTAAAAGAAAAGGTGAAACAACAATATAAATCATATAATGTAAATGATTAGATAGAACAATTCTAGCAAAGAAATTGTTTCAAATGCTCTTGGATACATAAAAATCAAATGACAGCGATCAGCTAGGTCTGGTACTTAATGCCCGTAATCCGGATGTACAGGAGACAGAGACACACAGCTGGGTGGGCCGTGGTGGTGCAGCCTTTAATCATAGTGCTTGGGAAGCAGAGGCAGGTGGAGCTCAGTGAGTTCAAGGTCAGCCTGTGCTACAACAGAGTACCAGGCTCTGGGACAGGCTCTGGGAAACCTTGCCTCGAAAACAAAACAAAACAAAACAAAACAAACAAACAAAAAAGAACAAGAGTCAGAGACAAAAACGTTCAAGAATTCAAGGCTATGCTAGGCTAAAAAAAAAAAAAAGAATGAGGTTAGCTCAGGATGCATGAAACTGTTTAAAAAAAACATACAAACAAAAAGAACAAACCAAACCAAACTGTTACAACGTGCATCCATCCCAACAGCGAGCTGGAACCCACCTCCACGTCCACTGACTGGCCTATGCCATTCCTCAACACACAACGGTTCCTCTCTTTTATAATTCCATAGATAACCACCCTCCAAAAGCTATGAGCTTTGTTCCCTAGGAAATACACATTATCTCCCCAGCTATCCCTCACCGTTTAGTAAAGCTTCCAGCCCCTTCTACACAGCAAATGTCTTTACTTAACCAGATTTGCTGGATACCTCTTAGTTTACGAGCGCAGGTAGGGAGCAGATCCTTGTGTGACCAGAGACACCGCACTGCGAATGGCGCCATCAAATGGCTTCCATACTATGTGCAGCCAAATAAAATTCTCAGGGTTTTTTAAATCAGACCGTTCCCAGCTAATCGGACAACTGACAGGTAAACCTAATGCTCTGACATATTTCAGCTTCAAATGTAAAAATTAATTAACAAAGCGAAACACCCATATTATAAATTGACAAATTTTATCAAAACAGGCAGCTAAAGCACATGCATTCAAGTGGTGACAGCAATGAAATGCATATTCCTCTGGAGTCATTGAGCAATATTTACCAAATTTCAGTGCATGGGCTTTGATCCAGGGCGACTGTCTAGACCACTGCTCATATTAGAAGGGCATGCATCAAGCGGCTCTCTCATTCAGTTTTCCACTAAGACATTCTTCCTAGTTGCTTCTTCTAGGACTGTGTGTATTAACTGTCTCACTGATTTTTAACAACGCACATGTAATTCCCACTCAGAATTCAAGCTGCCTTTTTTTTTTTTTCTGAGACAGGGTTCCTCTGTAGCTTTGGAGCCTGTTCTGGAACTAGCTCTTGTGGACCAGGCTGGCCTCGAACTCACAGAGATCCGCCTGCCTCTGCCTCCCGAGTGCTGGGATTAAAGGGGTGTGCCACCACCACCCTCAAACTGTCCTTTCCTTTTTGGTTTTGAATCTTTCCTGTGACAAGCAAACCCACACTCATTTAAGTGCCTGATAACACTGAGGGGATGAAGCAGCAAGCAAGCGTGACATTAAAGTTTCTGCAAAGACCTCCCAGCCACCTATGACTCATTTTCTTTGTACCATCGCCTGGAATATATTGTTTCCATCGTAAGAAACTTTCTCAACCACTTTAGAGAGGTCAAGTTAAATTATCCAAAAGGCGTTCCCACACACCACAATGTTAAACTTACTGAGTTTGGTATTCATTAATCCATATCATGGTTGTTTTGTTAAAGCAAATACCTGATTAATACATTTACTTCTCAGATCAAGTTATTGAGCTGTAATGACTAGATTCCATTCTAAAAGCTAAGCTATTTGAGGCTAGAGATGGGCTCAGAGGCTAAAAGTACTAACTTCTCTCACAGAGGACTCAGTTTCTGGTCCTAGCACCCCACCGGGTGATTCATAATCACAATTCCAGATCCATGTGCTCTGATGTCCTGTGGCCTCGGAAGGCTTCTTACACGTCATTCCACCCCAGACACAGGTTAAAGAAAATCGTGGTTTGGAATGTGTAACTCACAGCTATTAGAAACCACGGGGTAAAGAGTCAGGTGTAGAATATTCCTCTACACCGTGTAAATATGTCACTGTGATTGGCTGAATAAAGAAGCTGACTGGTCCACAGCTGGACAGTTAGGGGGAAAGCGAAACAGAGACTGCTGGGAAGAAGAAGGGTGGAGTCAGAGAAGTTAAACTTTCAAAGAAAGACCTAAGATTGCAGTAAATGCTTCCCAACTTTGTCCACCGAATTAGACCACATTCTCTTCTCAATCTACACAAAGTGCTGTGGCACCCAGCTCTCAAAGATGTCTCAATAGCCCCATCCTCTAAGGATCAAGGTTCCAAAAATCCCAGTCTCTGGCTCTTATACACTGTGTCAGAGCAGCAGTGCCTCCACGCTCTGGACTAAGGTCATTCACCTGGGTTTAGACCAGTGGTCTTCCATTCCAGATGAGCATCAGAAACACCGTAGGTCAGTGGATGTGGATTAGGTGACGGATCCCTCTACCTGTTGAAGAGTCCCAGAAAGGGCTCTGATACATAGCCAGGTCAAAGCCCACTTCCTCATCAAGACAGGGCTCTCACTGTTCTAACACCCTGGCTACTCTGACTGCTCCAGCCATCTCTATCTTGCTGTTCTTCCACTGTTCCTCTTAAATAAGTACCATGCAACTCCTCTTGACTCCTCCAGACACTCACACACTCCACCTTCACCTTCTACTTAACCCTCAGTGTGGGAAATCCTGTGGTCCCGGCTCTTCTGTTCTACTTCCCACAGTGGCCACTTCAGTTCATCCTTTTTCTATCCCCTTTATCTACATCTCCACAGTGCTTCACTCTATTAGGTGACTTCACTTATTTGCCATGGAAACCAAAAGGATTAAAGAGTCTGTGGGCTAGCCAGGCTTTCATCTCTACGTAAGTCTAACTGGACACGTGTCTACCTCTTCTCTGACACATGGCCACTGAATCTCATCCCATTATGCTTAATCCATCAACTGCCCATCCCCCTTGTCCTGTTTTCTCACCTCTCCTTTTCTATAAGTCTCTTCCAATTATGTTAACCATTAAAGAACTAATAATAATAATAATAAACCCCAATGAAACACTACTCTTCTCCCTACCCACTCCTCGTTCCCTCCACCTCCCAATGCCAAGCTCCCTAAAAGAGTTGCCAACCTTCACTCATCTGCGCGACACGACAGCCTACACTACCTTCCCTTTCATCGCGGTCTGGTGCACACCCTAAGGACATGCCCCGTGTGCATCTTCCCTGGTACTTCTTCAGGATGAGACCCTGCACTCTGTTTCCATTAGCTTCTGCAACTCCACACTCTACTGCTTTCCTTGGGGTTTCTTTCCTCAGCTCATCCTCACCAGAGTTTGGTCTCTTTCTTTTTTTCTTTTTCTTTTCCTTTTTTTTTTTCAAGACAGTAATTTTATGTGTAGCCCAGGCTGTCACGGAACTAACTTTATAGACCAGGCTGGCTTCAAACTCACAAAGATCCACCTGCCTCTGCCTCCCATGTGCTGAGATTAAAGGCGTGTACTACCACTGCCTGGCTTTTTAAAAAATATTATTATTTATTTAAGTGTACATGTGTGTATGTCTGTAATGGATATACCTGAGGTTAGGGTCATCCCCTGGAGCTGGAGTTACAAGCAGTTGTAAGCTGCATGGTGTGGGTGCTGAGATTAAACTCAAGTCCTCTGCAAGAACAATAAAGGCTCTTAACCACCGAGCTATTTTTCCAGCCCCTGGTCTTCTATCTATCTATCTATCTATCTATCTATCTATCTATCTATCTATCTATCTACCCAGACTCTGGTCATCTTATCATTCCTGGTTGCTAATACCCTGTATCTTCTAGCCTTCATCACTAGTCTAGGTCAATTTCCTGATGCAATCAAAAGTATCTCCTCAGATGTTCCTGGTAGGAAAACCCCAGATAAGAGTCACTACTTTAAAGCTTTTCCTACAGTATTGCCTGGTGAATTATCATTCTAAACACTCTGTCTCTCCACCCCATCCCCAAGTTTTAGATGTTCCACCATTTCAGAATAAAAACAAAACAACAATAAACACGACCAGTTTAGCTTACAAAGGGCTGCATGGAAGACATCTGCTAATTTTAATTTATGGCTGGACAATCTGACTCAGCTATGGAGGGAAGTTGCACAGTCAGTGGCACTATTAGCTCCTATATACTGGCTTCTTGGCTAGGTTTCTAATGCTACTCACCCAATGTTCTTCTGTTTGAAAATTCTCTGAATTTGCTGTGTTCCAATTTTTAGATAAATTTTGACCCATGATGCACCCATGTCTAAGATGCCCTCTTCCCCCTAGCCCATGTCTAGCATAAATAACACCAGCTTTAGGAAGTTCTCCTTAGTACCCACATTCACTACACATACCCTCCTTTAGGGCAAGGGTGAATCGATACCCTCACTTTGTGTTCCCATGATAACCTATGCTCACCCATACACCTTGGATCAGCAGTGGCCTGGTTCTTTGACCTACAGACCTATATACACCATCAAATCCCAAGTACCTAGAATACTGCCTATCACAAAGTGAGGGCTAAGACTACTTGCTGAGAAGAAGAAGGAGGGAAGTAAGAAAGGAATTATAATACGCAGTAGGGTGGACTCACTCTGGGCCTGGCTATCCAGATAATGAGTCACAGCTTGTATGCCAAGAGACCAGTGAGGCTATTTTAGCTCTGCAAGAAGATGTCAGAGTGACAGGCTGCCTATACCACAAGCCTCAGTATTTTGCACTGTCATGGCAAGTGTCTGTGGGTTGACATTAAGGAAGATCACAAAGGGTATAAACCAAAGAAAATGTCTAGTAGATTCTTGTATTTGATGTGGGAGTGATTTCTTATTAATAAAGAAACTGCCTAGGCCCCTTGATAGGCCAACCCTTAGGTGGGTGGAGTAAACAGAACAGAATGCTGGGAGAAAGAAGCTGAGTCAGGGAGTCGCCATGGTTCTCCCACTCCAGACAGACGCAGGTTAAGGTTAAGATCTTTCCTGATAAGCGCACCTCGTGGTGCTACATAGATTATTAGAAATGGGTTAAGAGGCTGAAACTAATGGGCCAGGCAGTGTTTAAAAGAATACAGTTTCTGTGTAATTATTTCGGGGCATAAACTAGCCATGCGGGCGGCCGGGTGCTGGGGACGCAGCCTGGCCGCTCCTATCACTACATGTATTAAATAGTGTAGGACTCAGCACTATATTTTTATGCTTTTACTGAGAGCTCTGAGTATGAAGGAGACCAATATGAACTCCAGTTCAGAGGCCTGAATTAAGAATAATAATAACGGGGGCTGGAGAGATGGCTCGGCAGTTAAGAGTAGTTGTTGCTCTTACAGAGGACCTGCTTCAGGTCCCAGAACTCACATGGCAGCTCACAACCACCTATAGCTGCAGTTCCAGGATCTGACCCCCTCTGACATTCATGGGCACTAGGTGACATGCAGTGCACATATGTACAAGCAGGCAAAAAACTCATACACACAAAATAAATACATCTAATAAATAAGTTTTACCAGCTCACCTTAGAAAAATTAGTTTAGTCATTGAAAGAACAAAATCATAGGGAGCAGAGGCATCTATTTTCCCCCAAATAAACTAAATAAAGCCTTCGAAATTTAGGCAAATTCAGTGACGGTCAGAAATATAAGGTTTTTGGTTGAATACTCAAGACTATAAAAAGCACAAGCTGAAGAGCACAGGCACTGTTATTCTAACTTCTTACAAGGATAACTGGAACAAACTGAGGCCCAGAAGCTGGGACCCCATGGGAGAATTCCATATACTATTACTGTGATGGTTAGCTTTGATGAGGACTTTGCACACTGCAGAGTCACCTGGGGATGGAGTGTCAGTGAGGAACAGTTTAGGTTAGGTTGGTCTGTGGGCATGCCTTTGAGGAATTTCCTTGATTAGCTGGAATGGCCTATTGTGGGTGGCACCATTGCCTAGGCAGGAGAATTCGGTTAAGAGTAGAGAAAGCGACCTGAGCATTAGCAAGCATTCATTAACACAGGACTTGAGTGTAGACGTAATGTGACTAGTTGCTTCAATATTCTTACCTTCCTCACCACCTTGACTTCCCTGAAATGATGGACTGTAACCTGGAATTGTGAGCCAAATAAACTCTTTCTCCCTTAAGTTGTTTTGGTCAGGATATTTTACCATAACAACAGGAAACAAAACTGTAAAAATCACCAAAGGAAAGTCAGTCTAATTCTCAAGAGTATGCAAATGAAATGGGGGACAGGCTGGGAATGAATGGCCTTAAATACTTTCCGATAATAGAGCAACAATCATGCATGGTTAGTCTGTTTTGGGCACATGTTTACTTGTTTGATGTTTTTTTGAAACAGGGCCTTACCATAAAGTAGGGCAAGCTGGCCTTGAACTTGCTCTGTAGCCCTTGAACTCACAATCCTCCTGCTCTAGCTTTCTGTGTGCTGAGCTAGCAGCTGTGTGCCTCCTCATCTGGACTGTGCAGCACACACTGACAGATGTTAGAATCACAAGCACACAGGGCTTATTACGGTAGAATTCTACTTCTGTGTTAATATATTTTTCTGAATAAGTCATTAAAAGTTTGTAATAAACTGGGTGGCGTATGCCTTTAATCCCAGCCCTGAGGAGGCAGAGGCAGGTGGATCTCTGTGAATTCAAGGCCAGCCTGGTCTACAGAGTGAGTTCCAGAACATGGTCCAAAGCTACAGAGAAACCCTGTCTCAAAAAAACCAAACCAAACAAACAAAAAACCCAAAAAATTATAATAAAAATACCAGAAATCAAATCTCATCTACAATTTTTTATTTAATATATTTTAGAGAACCACTTATTTAAGTATTATTATTACAAAAGTACAACATAACAGGTTAATTTGGGTAACAAGTTTTAGGTAACAAGCTTTATTTTTAGGTTAAAGGCACACAGAGAAAACTAACAGTCATTTCTAACTTAGATTTAGTAATGAATAGAGATTGTTAAACCCACAGCATAAACTCCAAGTGAAGAAAGAAATAGAAATTTGAAGGTAAATTTTAAAGTGTTCTTTCAAACAAAATAAGCAACGAGCTACTGGAAGGATAGTGTCAACTGAATGTTTTTTAAGTCAGTATTTCCAGAGATTTCTAATGCAATCTAAAGGGCTGAGGCAAGCCGCCTTCCAAAGCTAAAGACCTCCATCTCAACCAAGATGCAGTTTTGGACCTAGCAAAGATAGAGCTTCTCCCACTGTGCTGACTGAATGTATCCCAGAGAAGACCTTGCCTACTCTCTGAGGACAGAGACGAGGGCAGAGGCCAGCAAGGGGCTGGAGAGGTGGCTCAGTAGTTGAGAGCACTCAGTGCCCTTGCAGGACCCACATAGTGGCTCACAACTTCTGTAAACTGCAGTACCCAGGGACAGAATGCCCTCTCTGAATTCCTCAGGTACCACATATGCACATGGTGCACAGACAAACACACAGGAAAAACAGTCATACTCATGAAATAAATCAATGTAAAAAAAAAATTAAGGCATGGCAAGAGAAGAACAGCTTGTCTGTGGCTGAACATGAAGCCAGCTAAGCTCTGTGTGGAGCCATGCCTACAGTCTGGAAGAGAGAGACAAGGAGGAAAGAGGGACAAGGAACCCACTCACCTGCAAAAGAACTCCCATAAGTCTAAGTTTTGAATCCTTTGAATCCTTTTAATTCGGTTCCGATCCATTGTTTTACCAAAGAGATTGGCAACTTCATTATATTCATGCGTTTGGTTCTGCAGGGAGACCAGCTGGGAGAAGACGTTTGCAGAGTTTAGCAGTGGCCTTCCCATCTGCCCCGGGACGTCCTGCTGGCCTGCCCCACAGTCATCTGCTCTCACCTGGTAGGGAACTTCTGTATTCACGTTCTCCCAGTGTGTTGGCATGGGGATGGCCTCATTTTCACAGATGTAACTTCAAACAGCAAAAGACAGAGCAGAGTATCAGAAGCGGATTATAATTAGTGTCGGTGGTTTAGCTTTTCTCCGCGGCTGAGTTTTTTGTTTGCAAAGTATTTATGACAAACAGGATAAAGTTTAACCTTTGGCTTCACTTAGAAATATTTACTGAAATTCTACTTTCCTAACTTTTAAATGCTGAATTATAAATTTTGACAGGAATATACAAATCTACATAGCTTCAACACTTCAGAAACAATTAATTCAATTTCTTTTGTTGAGATTTTTATAAAATGTGAAGAAAATTTTAGCCAAAGAAAGGAATTTCTAAGAAAAAGTAGGCTGATTTAAAAAAAAATCCAAAGCGTTTATTGATATTAGTACTGAATGAAACTGGAAACTCTACCAGTCATTGCTGTTTTCCAAGATGGCTCAATCATCCCCACCCTCTGTCTTCTATGACCTAACTCAGCCCTCTTCTCTGCCTTCTGTTTCCTTAGACATTGCATTCTGACTTGCTCAGTGCAGTCACACTTGGCAGCAAATCTTTAAAAGCCAAGCAATATGGTCAAGCCACAGGACATAAACAGCAAAATGCTAAAACAGGCACAATAGCCTTCCTTGCAAATTAACAACCTTCAAACCTATCCTTAGCTCATTTCTGTCAAACTTTGTAATTCTTTTGGAAAAAACAATATAACATATAATTCTTAAAAGATTTTTATTTGTATGTGTATGCATCTGTGTGCAAGTGTGCTATATATGTGCAGGTGGCTGCAGAAGGAGAAGAGGGCACCCAATGCCCTGGAGCTGGAGTCACAGTCAACTGTGAGCGGCCTCCATGGGTGCTGGAAACCACTCAGGAAGGTCTTCAGTGCACCGACAAGTACAGAGTGGGAACCTTTCCTCCTGCTGCAGTCTGGGTTCTGGTCAGCTCTGGCTCTTCACTCCTTCTCACAGCCATCTCTACACCCAGGTGTCCGTTAGAGCTCCCTTTTAGGTTCAGAAAGCCAAGTTTTGATCAACACAAATGGCAGCACAAAGCACACATTTTTGCCCCTATGTTGTTTTGGTCATTTGATCAATTCTCACTATGATCCTTATAAAAATGTATGCAATCTCCTCACTCCCAGGGTCAAGGGGAATCCCAGCACATGGCAGACACTCAGCTAACATGCAACAAATAAATGCCTCCTCTGCTACACACACACAATTCCATCATCTGTGCATGGACAGGGGAGCGGGAGCTGAAGTGGAGCATCTTCCTTAGGCCTCCTTTAGTCACTATGGACTTGACATGTCACCTAGGGACTGCCCAGTGGGGCTCTGCATTGGTGTAGGAGCCAAGTGGGCAGTTCCCTAGGACTCTGGGCCCCAAACAGAGACAGAACCATAATTTATTTAAATGCTTGCGTCTGGTGATACTTAGCTTGCTTCTAGCAACCTCTTCAGAGTCATGCGCTTCCATTTTTGAATTTCAGTCAGTTTGCTAACAAAGGAGTCTGGCATAAATTGATATTTTTCTTAATCATATGTGTGATTATAGGAATATCAAATTGTTTTAGGAGAGTTCTAGAAGAACTTCAAATACTATAATTATGATTTAAGTTAACTTCAACCCTGAGTTGCACCCCCCCCCCTTTGTCCAATGTATCTTTCACTATGGAGGAAAGGTTCAAATAACTTGTATGGACCCACAGCACTGACAGAATGCACACTGGCCAGGCTTGTGATGAGCGCCCAGTGCTGCCCTACATCTAGCCTTTCTGCATGAGCAACTCCTGACCTTTATCCCCTTAGCTTTCACACTTAACTCCTCCCCTTTCATTACAGCCTCAACTGCTGTCCTCCGCTGCTTACTCCCCCTGCTCCTTCTGTTTTTGTTGTATAGTTTGTATAGCCTGAGAAAGAAGAAAATGCTTGACCCCAGTATGGACTTCTCACCAGCTTCAAAGGGAGACCAGCTAAACCAACACACAGATGTGAAACTCTTCCCGCTACTGTGTCTCATTGCCCCAGATTACACTCTTAGGAGATAAGAAATGCATTCTATTCCTGGCACTGTAGAACACAAACATGATGTAGGAAGTAAGAACATAGTCTGTGTCCCACAGATGCAGGAAAGCCTTTATTATCTTTTAAGTCGTGATATTAAAATATCAGTTAAATACTTAAGAAAGGAAACTGAAAGCATTTCTCTCCTTGCTCTCTCCTTCAGTTCCTTTCTCTACAGCTCTTTGGAAGGCGCATGAGGCATCCCTTACAATTCACACACTGTCATTTTGTTTCCCAGCTGGATCTTAAATTCTCTGAAGAGAAAGAACTCAACATTCGCCTGAGGAATCATTCTAGAAAATGGGAGACACACTCTTAAAGTGCTCTACTTGTTTTCCATTCCCATGCGCAACAGGTGTGTATTAACCTTTGGCACATAACAATCCTTTTTTTAAGTCTATATATGGCAAAAGTAAGCAAAAGGAAAATGAATCCAGGGAAGATGCACTGCTGTCCCTCTAGTCGATGTGGACTTGTGCTGTACCTCAGAGATGCCCAACAGGGAGCTACATCAGTGCAGAGGCAGACCACATGGCCAGTTCTCTAGGATTCATGGTAAATACATGGACTGTTCTCTGACAGCATGTCCAGTTCAAATTCAAACAAGTTCAATAGGTCATTTTAAGGGTTTGAAACAAAAACCACATGGCATCTTATAATTATCACGCACACTGGTCTAAGAATTGAAAAAATATATACATATGACAAGAGAGATTGAAAGGAAACAATGGCAGAAGACAGTGATTATTTAATCAGCAAATAAGAGGTTTAATATTGCAAAAATTGCTATTAGTTCATGAGATGAATGTTAGTCTACCTGGTTTTCTGCCAAAGAGTAAGAAAGCAGGGAGAGAAAAGCCCACCCCTCATGTACCCATTTACCATACCTGAAGGCACTGATGGAGAAAGGAGCCCTTTTTACTAGGCGTTGTTTTCCAGTGACGAGGTTCATCTGCTTCATTTCTGAACACAAAGAGACAGATCAGATGAGCCGCAGAAACACACAGTGCTCCCAGGTCTCATGCATGTTAGGAGCCACAGTACAGGGCGGTCAGTGGCTCTGGGAGGAGACGACGGCCAGGTAGTTATGATCTTTCACCATCGACCTATTTGCCATGTTGTAAAGGTACAGGGGCCCTGCTTCTTGATCTAAGGCCACACCAAGATGCTCACCTCACACCCTGCTCCGCACGCATCACACCTCAGCTAAACTGACACTAAAATGCAAGACCAAAAGCGGCCAAGTTAAGAGCATAGAATGACATCATACTAAATCTTCCATTGGATTTGTTACACGGAGAAATGCACTCTGGGTTCCCTAAGAATTTGGAAATTAGAAAGGGATACATTTCCATGTAACATCTGCACAACTCACATGATTTCAAAAATGTGTTTCTTTAGTCATCTTTTAACTGCACACTTAAACCAAAGGAAAAGGAAAAGAAAACCCAGCCAGAGACAACACGTATTTACACACAGACTCCCAGTGAAGGGGCCACACTATCTAGTTAACATCTTCTGCTGCACCACGGCCTTGGCAGTATTCCCGTTTATCCACCCATTCAAGCAGTAAATTTTAACAAATGTCACTGCATTTGTCAATTGTATGCTCTGCCACTCCTGTATTCTCCTCGACACGACACACCAGGGAACTGCCACCATTCAGGGAAAAGCAAGATCACCTCAGGACCTGGCACCAAATCTGTGGAATCATCTTCACAGCTGTCTCCTCTGCGTCTACTTTCCATGTCACTCAGAGAGAAGCTGGGTGGTGGCAGGATGACTGGGTTAAAGGTCCTCCAACAGTGTATGGAAAACGCTAGTAGCTGCACCTTAAAACATCACCATTTATTCGTTTATGCCACGTACCACTGTCATAATTTAGTAAAGATATATATCTATATCTCATGTAGGCAAACATGGCCTAAACACATTATGTCGCTGAGGCGGGCCATGAAGCTGTGATCCTCCTATCCACATCCTGGGTGTTGGGATTTCAGGCATGCACTACCACACCTGGTTTGTGCTGTGCTGGGGTTTCATGCATACTGGGCAGGTACTCTACCAAGTGAACTACATTCTGAGCATCTACAAAAATATTTTGAATTAGTCTTTTTTCCTGACAGGAATCTCCCAGAAAGTATAGTTCACTAGTGAATATTCTTAGTCAGAAGTGGCCTGCTGAATTACCTACCACACACTTCAACAGATGGCATCCCCTTTACAAGGCCTGAAGTTTGTGTAAATCATACTGTTCTGCCACCAAACCTGTGCTCGTACACAGCGCTAGCACAGAACACAGCGACATCTACCAAACACCTTCTGCTGGGACAGAGCACCGAGGGCAGCATGCCCTATGCTTGCCTAATGCTGGTTCTGAAAGTCAGGATTAATTGACAGTAAAAAGAGAATTGTTTTCACTCTTCTTAAATTTAATGTTCTCATCTATTCTTTGAATCATTCTTGATAATCAGCAATTACAAGAAAATCAAGTTTGGTAGATGGTATTTTTTAGCTCTGTTTACACCGTCCCTGAGAACCCTTTACCACTTCTGGGAAAGCATTTCAGACTTACACTCCATCCTCAGCACATCAGCACCACCACGGTCAGAAAGACACAACTCAGCAACTGGACAAGAATAGCTAGAAGACCAAAGTGTAGAGTGACTAAGAGTGAGCGGTTATTAAGAAGCTGCCCCATTCAAATCTCCTTTGCCTCAAAGCCATCTACAGTGGGTGACAGCAGCCTGGAACTTACGGAGTGAATCCAACAGTGTTTCCATGAGACACCTGATAACATGACCCCACATGGTGGGAGGAACCCAAAGAGGCATGGGTCTAACTGAAGCTGATCTGCACATTAGCTGGGCTCATCTAGGAAGCAGCATCCTTTGAAGAGGCAGCCATCTAAGCAAACCATCAACAGGAAGGTCACCTGGCTTCACTTTGGTCTTGAAACAACCAGTGACTTCCTCATCATTTAATATCAGTTTGATGTTTAAGGTAAAACGGTTCCCAACTCCAACCAATATCCAGGGATGTAGTGCCGAGTAAAATAAGCGCTGTAAGTTAGGCACAGCAGTCCAGGCCTGCAATCCCAGCTGCTCCAGAGGCCGAGGCAGAAGGATTGTGAGTTCAAGACCAGTCCAGCAATACAGCGAGACCTCATCTCAAAAATCAAAACATAAAAGAGCTATAAAGAGCATTACATAAACTCAAAACACACGGCAACACCACGTATGTTAACACACATGAACACAGAACATGCTTTTATAAAAGGCAGTGCTGCTCAAGGGTCTAACAGTGCAGATTTACAGAGCTCCTTTTGCATAGAGCAGGAGGATTTACTTCATGCTTCAAGACATCTTGGCTAATCCTGAGCTGCAGACTGCACTGTGCCAACAGTCTAGGAATATTCTAGAAACACACAACTAGGAGGGGAAACATACCTGAAAAGTCTATCTTGTAGCTGAATTTGGAAGTAGTAAAGGAAATGGAGCCACAAGGGTTTGTTTTGAAGCTTTTTTCGATATCTTCACTGCTAACTGAACATTGAATGTTGGTATCCGGCTTTAAGACAAACCAGAAAGTTGCATTTACCAGCTGTTCACAGTAATGGGTTGGCCACAGAAGTGGAGCTGAGGTCACGTGACAGAGAAAGGATGAATGAAGGGTGCCTACTGCCTCCTGCTCTACCTCCCCCATATACAGGGAGCACAACCAAGCCTGCACGTGGAAAATGATTAACGGCGTCCAGGGGAAAACAGCGACTGTTATGCTAGGCTCGGCCACAGCCGTCTCACATATTACCACGAGCTTCACAAATTATCTAATGATTGCACTAAGTGGCTCAAAGTAAACCTTTCACCAGCCTGGTAACCATACAATGGGAGAAGAAAAAAAACCCCAAACTACAAGTTCTTGTGTGGGGGTTCAAACCTCAGTTAAACTCTCTTTGCAACTTGGACCAAGCGAATGAACTTTTCTGAGCTCTCCGTCCTCTGACAGAAGATGGAGCAGTGTCATCCGCTTCAGAAGTGCTGTGAGGACACACAGGGTGCACACAGCACCTAACGTCACACCCGAGCTCCTCCCTCCCTATGTCCACCAGATCAAACCCGAATGTGCTTGTATGTGCCGAGCCCACCACCAGGCATGCTCCCTGTCTAAGCTACCACTGCTCCTGAGAGGTTATTGTCAGGGGAAGAAACAGACTTCTAGCTACACTGCTTTCCATCAGGGCTGGAACCTTCCAGAGCTCCATGAGCAAGAGTCTACAGTGTGGCAAGCCCTTGCCTGTGAAGTTTGGGGTGGGGTACCTGAAACATGTGCCACTTCCCACATTCCGCCAGGTAGAACCAGCCCCACTGTGTGTCCGAGGTGTCCATGTCATCCACGTCACTCTCCATCTTCTTGGGAAAGAGTTCCTCTGTCTTGTGAAACATCTTCTGGAAAGCCAGGGAGAGGTGGAGGAGGGATACCCATTAACGACCAATGTGCTTTCTATGGACCATTCTACTTCATTACCAGGAACCAGATTCCAACGTCTTCCCCACAGTGACACCTGACAGCTATCTGCACAGTGGCCCTGAAGATAAACAACTAAAATGTTAGGCTGATGATCCTCCTCGGGTGGGATAAATCAGTGCACATGAAGCCCCAAGAAGTAATTCAACATTCATTTGTGAATTTGTCAGGCACCCCTGCATCACAATTACTTAAGATCAGATGTATCTGTTTTTCTATGTCAAATAGTCATCTTATTTAATAGCACAAAGAGACATTTCTACAATATGTGAGGCCTTTAAAAAAAGCTGTAACAGTAAAGAATAATATAATAAAGTTTTAGTTCAAATATATCTATACTTTGCTTTCATAAACACATGGATATACACATGAGCATGCACACGCACACATGCACACAGGACAGAAGTTTGAGCAGATGAGAAGCTGTCATAGTGTCTTCTAAGCACTAAGATGCTGAGAGTATAATGACGGCAATGACAACAATCCGGCTCTTACTAGGTGTCAAGTGTTGGTCTAAGAACTCTAGGGATAACTTATTTAGGCTTAACAACAACCTATATGATACAGGCACTCCTGACAAAAATTAGGAAACGGAGGCAGAGCGGTCACACAAGGGGAAGTTAAGCTCAGGCAGAATGGCCTCAGGATCTGTACATGTAGGTCACACATTATACTGTTTTATGCTTTGTGACCAATAGGTTTTATAATGTTGACTAGAGCATTAACTCATATACACCTAATCTTTGAAAGAAAAAAAAAACTGATGTTCTTGGGTGGAAATTGTGATAAAGTCACTAGAAAAGGGACCAAGTGGTTAATTTAATTTCACTTGCAATTTGACTTCCTATCATCTAAAGGTTCTTAAATAATTCATTTAAATTTGTACAACTAATCCAGTCTATTGCCATACCACCCTGAATATGCCTGATCTCCAAAGCTGAGAAGGGTCAGACCTAGTTAGTACTTGGATGGGTGATATCCAGTCTAGACTACAACAGACAAGCTCTGGAGCGTCTTACAAAGGGAATGTGGAAAAAACAAAGCACTTTCTGGGCACAGTATCTCATGCCTTTAATTCCAGCACTTGGGAGGCAGAGGCAGGTGGATCTCTGCGGCTCGAGGCCAGTGTGGTCTACACAGTGAGTTCCAGGTCAGTCAGGGCTGTATAGAGAGACCCTGCCTCAAAATTATTTAATTAATTAATTAATTAAATTTGTACAACTAGCATACAACTTGCTAAGAAGTCAGAGTACTTATGTTGAAGACTTGTTGGCCCATCACACTTTTATCCTCGACATTCTTTACCTTCCTTTTACAGAGTTAACCAATGCTATCACTTTACAATGTATCTCTCAGGGGTGTGGTGCGTGTGTGTGTGTGTGTGTGTGTGTGTGTGTGTGTGTGTTGTAGAATCTTGTATATACACATCTACACTGGCAATATGGCTAGAACACAATCCCTTATACCTTTGATTGTTTTTTAACAAAGAATCTGTATTTCCTGAAAACTGAAAAATATTTGTATGCCACTGTATAAAATGTAGGATAAGTTCCCATTATTTTGTCTAGACACATTCTCCCACACAGCAGAAACTAAAGTTCCTTCCTCACTTGGGGTTGGGATGAATACCTGAGCTCCGTGAAGGAGTTAGTTAATTTTGATTTTTTCATTCACATCCAGCAGATTTCCAAGGAATACTTTTCTGATTATGTCCTTGTTTTCACTCCTTCATGTTTTACAAGTTGACTAGCTGATGAGAACAACAACAACAACAACAACAACAACACCAAAACAGCCTGGACCGGGCTCCAGGTTAGAACACACTATTTACCTTCTGTGCCTTAAGTGGATAATAAAGATGATGACTTAAAATGTAAACTCAGCTGTGCCGTTAACTAGTCCGGACATTTGCTCTCCTCTCCCAGCACTCCTCACACTGGTTGGCCATTTCACTGTGAAGGAATAAGAAAGCAAGCCAGGGGACACAGGCTTAGTTTTTGTTTGGGAAATACCCTAAAAAATTGGAAAGACAAGCTTGAAGCAAATAGGTAAGACAGAACTGGGCTGTGGGTTCTGGATTTTCTCTATCAGAAAAGGGACAGGCAACAGAAAGGTTCCCTCTATGGCTACAGCACAGTGTGCTCTGTCCTTTGGCTCTGTCCCTGAGCTGTCACTGCAGGCCAGTCTACACGCAGGCACTGGAGCCCAAGTCCCAGCTACTGAGGCTGAGACAGGACCATCACTGGAGTCCAGTTCAAGGCCAATCCGAGAAACACAGTGAAACCTGAGGGGGAAAGGGAGGAAGGGAGAAAGGAAAAGAGAACAGAAAAAGGGGGAGGGAAAAGAGAAAGGGAGAGAGGAAAGAAGGGAGAGAAGAGAGAGAGGAACTGTGATCAATAGCTTTGACCGAGTTTTAACTAGCGAGGCCAGTTCTTCGTCACACTTTACACTGTTTTTTTTTTCCTCTATAGTCTCATGTACAGGAGAGAGAAGTCATTACTTTCCAGTTGAAGACAGGGAAAATACAAAGCAGAAAATAATATAATTATTTTGTCTACAATCAGGGTGTGCATGTACAGTACAGAGAAGATTAAAGAAGCCCTGAGGCCTGTTGGGGTCCCATCTCCCTCCAGGTGTCCACCTCTCGGCCTCATTTCCACCTTCGCTGCCAAGCTTCACAGATGCACTGGCTTTCTTTCAAACAATTCATTTCATATCATAACAGCCACAGCATCATTTATAGTGTGCTTCCTCTCCAAAGGAATGGCTATTTTGTATAATTTGGCTCAAAGAGAAAACTGGCTTAAACAAAATAATTTAGAATGCTGTTGCTCTAATAATGATGGCTCACTAGTTAGGACACATCGACAGGAAATCAAAAGAACACGTGCAGGTTATCCAACACGGAGAAGGCACTTAACGCACGTTAGAAAGGGCTAGTTCGGTTACAATGCCACATTCGGCCTGACTTTCCTCTTTCTAACTGGGAAGAAACGGCGCTTCCTGTACAGAAGGCCGCCAGGGAGAAACAGCCAACACCAAACGGTAAAGCATCCTTCTTGTTTTCAAATGTGCACACAGGTGGAGTCCATCTCCAAGGCCATCCGTACTAACAAGATCTGTAATCACAGCACCTGGGCACATTCCATATGAATCATGCAACTGAAAAGTAACAGGAAAGATGAGTTCAAAGTCAAATCCTGGTCCATATCCTGGAACACAATGCTGCATTCTAGACTTATCATTTCTAGTGAGAGTATTACTACATAGTTATTTTATTAGCATAAGCATACTTGAGGAAGTCATACTTGGAGATGAAGGCATCTTTGCCTCTCTATAAAGAATCAGCACTGAGTCTCATGGGCTGAGAGAGGATAAGGCAAGTTCAAGGCAAGCATGGATATTTTAAGAGACACTGTCTCAAAACATTAACATGTACATGCGCATACACAAAGTAACATTTTGTTTATTGCATTTTTGTGAGCATGCATTGCCACAGCACACATATGTCATGGCACATATGGGGGGAGCAGGTCATTAGACAACTTTCGGAAGTCAGTTCTCTGTTTTCATCCCAGGGATGGAACTCAGGTCACCAGGGGTGTAGGTGTGTGTGTGTGTGTGTGTGTGTGTGTGTGTGTGTGTACATGCGTGTGTTTCCAAAATCTGCTACAAAGCTGGTAAGGGGTGGACGTTCCAGACTAACAGGATAAGAAATTCCGGAAGTGGACCTTCTTTCCAGAAGATCAGCCTTGCAACTAGTAAAACTCTCCAAAATCGTTTAACTCTGGAGCATGTGCTTAGGGGGTCTGCAAATGACGGAATACACACAAGAAATGTCCTGCTGGCTCTTCTATGTGCGGCCAAAGACGAGGCCCCTGTACCCCAGGCTGAGGAAGGGCAGGCTGCTGGTATTCCTCATCCCCCTCAGTCCATGAGGCAGAAGTTCTATTCCAGACAAACAACAGAAAACAAACTCCCTCTCCCACCCAGAGTCTACTTCTAGGGCTGCTAACTCCCTCACCTAGTGTCCTCTCAAGGAGTAGAATGTCACCTTGGGAAAAGAGGGCTTCCACCTGAACTGCAGGTACCCTGATACAGGAACTCTGCCCAAGGGCAAGTGGACACAAGGAATAAAGGCCACATCACAGCCTGAGAGCAGCTCTATTTGGAAGAGACAACAGAGGACCCGAGACTAAGGGAATTCAGAGAAACAGTGGTTAGCTTCATGAAAACCAAGGAAAGTGAGGCGTGGACAGAAGTGGAATGGCATAAGTGACAGAGAAGAGGCGACAGCAGGGAAGAGCCCTCTTGATCAGTCACTGCTGGACATGAAAAAGCTGTTGACAGCTCTGAGCTTGTACCCATCTAGGAACAAACAGAGCAAGACACTGGACAGACCTGAAAATGCTCCCACATGACTGATGTGCCCATCAACACAGGAAGAAACATGAGGCGGGAAAAGGGCTTCAACATCACTGCTGATAAACACTGACTACACAGGAAGCTACTCTGGTTCATGGGCAAAGGCTGCGAAGCAGGAGTTGATTTTTTTAATTTTTAAAATTTTGTTTATTTATTTGGTGTGTGCATATACCTGCACATGTGTGCCATGGCTCAAATGCTCATGGCTTAGAGAGCAACTTTCAAGAGTCACTTCTCTCCTTCCACCAAGTGCCTCCCGAGAGTAAACGTCAAGCTTGGCAGCAAGGATCTTTATCCACGCAGCCATCTCACCAATCCCAAGAACTCATTCTATGAGTTAGCTTACACATAACAGGTTTCATTATGGCATTCTCATAGCCCAGCACCCTCAGCAGTGTGGAAGATGATAAGCCCACCATCATGTCCTCTCCGGAGTGATCCAAAAGAGAGACCTCTGCCAGGCAGTGGTGGCACACACCAGTAACCAGCACTCAGGAGGCAGAGACAGGTAGATCTCTGTGAGTTTGAGGTCAGCCTGGTCTACAGAACTGTTACACAGAAAAACCCTGTCTTGAAAAACCAAGGGGGAGAAAAGGAAAACCTACTTCTGGATAAGTATTAATATAGTACCCCCCCTCAAAAAACCCCAAACCTCACTCAACCACAACAGCAGCCTCTGAAGAGTTAAAGCTTGACTACCTAGAGGACTCAGCACAGCTTTTAACCCATAACTTGTCAACCTGGAAGTGCTGCCCGAGCAGTAAGGACAAGAGGAGAACAGTGTGAAGAAGGCTACATTCATATGTAAGTTCAGCCAAGTAACCAAAACACAAAGTGATAGAGCCCGAGCTATGGCAGCCACCAAAAGAGGTCAGATCAATAGAATAAAATAACTATTTTTAGAGAAGGACACAGTATTATTTGCCCATGATCCCATTGTTATGGTAAATGTAAAACGTTGTGGATCCCCAAGTGGCTGCAGCAGGCCACGAGTCCCAGGCAGGGGAGCCACATGGTGGGTGAGAGATATTGATGGGGCAGCTAGTTCTACGAGGAGAGACAGACAGTTGGGCATGCCACGAGACCACGCTGCAGGTCTCCGAAGGTGGCTGGTCCCCGGCAGGGAGCCACACAGCGGGCTAGAGACAGAGACATGGATAGGAACGCCATGCAGAGTGAGATTGCATATTTATTTAGTGGGTTATGGAGGGGAAAGGGGAGAAGGGGAGAAGGAGAGAGAGGGAGAGAGAGAGACAGAGACAGAGAGAGAGAGAGAGAGACAGAGAGAGAGAGAGAGAGAGAGAGAGAGAGAGAGAGAGAGAGAGAGAGAGAGAGAAACGAGGAAGGGGAAAAGTGGGAAGAAAGGAGAGACCGAAGCTGCCTCTTAGAGGGACGGAAAAGGGGACTCAGGCTGGAAGCTGAAGATCAGTTTGCCTTGGCAGACAGGGGAGGGAGTGGGCATGGTTTGTCTCTTAAAGGGACAGAGCAGACCGTTACACCCATTACTTAAGTAGCAGAGGCAGGAGGATCACTGAGTTCAATGTACAAGGAGGTTCTGTCTCAAACAAATACTTTAATTGAATACCCAGGTTTCCACAAACATACACAAAAAGGAATACATGAGACCAAAACCAGGGCAATTAAAACTGAAAATGTCTAACCAAATAGAGACCATCCCTAAAGAGATGGTGACTACACTTGATGGTGCAAGTCTTTCATCCTTGAGCCAGCCTGAGGTACAAAGTTTGCAAGTTCAAGGTCAACCTGGGCTAAGAAACAAGCTCCAGGTTAGCCTGAACTACAAAAAGCTTTATCTATTAATTTATTACCTAAAATTAAAGAGACAGTGTAATAGTGGCCATTCCTTTGAGACTGCCCTTTGCATGGTAGAACCTACCTGCAATTTTAGCATTAGGGATACCAGAGGTAAAGGATTATTAGTTTGGAGGCAGCCTGGGCTACACAGCCAGATCTTGTGCTCAGATGGTACCTATGCCTCTGGGCATTCCTGCTTCAGGGCGAATGAAGTTGTTGAAATTGTAGATGTTTATTACAGAACAAGGATAAAGAATCACGGGCACTGACACACAGTACCCACGGGACTGAACTGCGTGAAGTTCCATATCCCGAGGGAAAACAGGCATTCCCCTGAACCACTCAAGCATAAATATCTGGACAAATTGCTGTGGAAAGGCCCAGGGCCTCAGGCATGCACTGTGCTTCTCTCGAGGCAGACATTTCCAAAGCTCGCTCCCTGAAGTTCCAGACTATGATGGAGACAAGCTTGTAATTTGCCTTGCTGCATAGAGTGAGTTCCTTCTATCCCATGTTGTCCATAGTTTTAAAGAACCCCAACCTGACTCTGGTTAGAAGGTTCAAGGACACAGTCTTGTAACTGTAGCAAACAGTTAGAAGGAGCAGCTACGAGAGCAAGCAAGCATCCCAAAGGAGAAGCAGAAAGGATAATTGGAACTAAGCTTGGTCCTTTCTTGCAAGACCTCAAGGGGCCTCATGGGAACTTCCTCATGCCTCCCAGAGACCTAAGAACCTTCTATTAAACTCTATCTCTTAAAAAGGATCTGCTATATCCAAATAGCACTCAGGGACTAGGAGATATATTTCCTGATGGCAGACATATAGGAGCCATGATTATGTCATAAATGTAGCACGATTAATAAAAGCCCAGAGACAGAAATTGGGGTTCAACCTGAAGGTCAAAAAAGCAAAACAGCTAGCCACTGGCTCTTACCTCTACTGTGGAGGCCCCAAAATGTGAGCCTGTTTTCATGTTGACCAAAGGTCAGAGAGTTGGACCTTACCTCTATTCCTTCAAGGTTATGTAATATATATATACATATACATATGTATATATATATTTGTTTTATTTTTATGTGTGTCTTTGTATTCTTTATATCGCTAAATCACAACACCCCTACCCTAGCAAGAGAGATTTTTGTAGAGGCTGGTCCCTGACACTCTACCTCAGTCCAAAATGATGATTCTGCCTCCAGGAATCTCAGAATGAGACTGAGAGCTGTCTTCTTCCATTTTATAATCCTCTCTATTTCTGGGATTAAGGGTGTGTACCACTGCCACCTGGTTTCTATGGCAAACTAGTGTGGCTACAGGGATTAAAGGTGTGTGTCATTGTGGCAACCAGAATTAAAGGTGTGTGTCATTGCTGCCTGGTCTGTAAGGCTGGCCAGTGTGGCTATTTTACTTTTCCTCAGGCAAGCTTTATTTATTAAAATACAGATGAAGTGCCACTATGTTAATAATAAAGTTGGAGAACTTCCAAGATGGTGCCTTCCTCCCTATTCTCCTGGCCTGAGACAAAAGTCTTTAACAAAGGTCTTGTGGGCTTTTTCTCCCATCCAGAAGCCCATGATGACAGACTGGCTCAACAACTTCAAGATCAACAGACATGTCACACAAGAGCTGTGGGCCAATCAGTCATCGTGTCTTTCCTCAGACCCTAAATTAGAGAAGACCCTTCAAGGACTTTAAAACACCACAGCCCTAAAAGACTTTGGCTACCCAAGGACCCTTCTGCTTTGTGGAGAACCTTTCTCTTTGTGTACTTGCTGAATATGTTTCCTAGCCACAAATAAAGTCTTTCTTTAACACTGATTGCATCTACTCTGTCAGATTCTTCCTCTGCTACCTGTTGAGTTTGAGATTTTTCTTGCCTTTAAATTCTTTAACTGGCATAGAAAATGAAAGGGCTGGAGAGGTGGCTCAGAGGTTAAGAGCATTGCCTGCTCTTCCAAAGGTCCTGAGTTCAATTCCTGGCAACCACATGGTGGCTCACAACCATCTGTAATGAGGTCTGGTGCCCTCTTCTGGCCTTCAGGTATACACGCAGAAAGAATAATAAAT